AAGGAGAACAAGACAACATCCTCTCTCATGCTGTCTGTCTCTCAACTTGTCTTGTAGTGGTGTGTGCCAGGAGTGGGAAAAAAAATTCAAAAGCTTTGGGTCAATAATGCTATGTAAAATAATATCTAAAACTATCATTTAAAAGGTTATAAAAATAAACTAACAAAATAAAATTAATAAATACAAAAATACTTTTTTAATTTCTTTTTTATATAATTTAATAATAATAATCATAATAAACAGATTAATGGCAAAAGCCCCATCGAAAAGATAAATACATATTTTAAATTAGAGAATATATAATATAAAGCAAAGTATTTTAAAGTATTATAATATATAAAATCATATGTGTATATATAATATGAAACATTAATATATAATATAAAACACTATAATATAACAAAATAAACATTTATTATTTAAAATATACACATTTTAAAACTACTAAGTGTTCTTAAAAAGGCATATTATTTTTAAACACATAGCTGGAATGTGTGTGTGTGGTTGAAATGGCCATTATCTAACATGTGGCAGAAACGATAGTCAAAACATTGTTTATTGTCCATCTCTACAAATTAACCAAATGAGTAACTGAATATGAACAATATGTGAGATAGAGAACGTGTGATGGAGTGTGTTGAGCAATCTCTACATAAGCAGAAAGAGTCTGACTTCAAAGGTAGAATGCTATTGACCAACCTCTGAGTGAGCAGCCTTGTTTCAAGGTCTTCATGCCAGTTCGTGTAATGATAAAAACACAATATTTGTGAAATAACCGGCCTTGTCTACCTTGATCCAGAGCAATACTGTTTCTTCAATCTGACCTTGTACAAGAGGCCTTCAGCGGTATTGAAGCACACACAATACTGGAACCCTCAAACATGGAAATTAATTCTGCAGTTCAAATACTTTGCATTAGCATGCTAGATCCGTTTTCTGCCCAATTCTCTATGGTGAAACCCTTTGATCTACAAAAACAGGTCTTCTTAATACCGTTTGAAAATGTAGCCATCTATCAGACATCTCAAAGTTCTATATTGTTTTTACAAAGCAGGAAACTTATTCTGATTCATATTCTAATCACTTATTCTGATTTAGACTAAGTTTCTGCAAACCAGAACAATCCTTCAAACCAACAAAGTGTTCTCGGATTAGCACTGAAACAGCTTGAAGAGAGAGGTATCAGTAAATATAATAAAGACAAAAGAATCACAATTAGAGACATATTCCGGTCAGAGAGGCGGTGTGAATGTGAGAAGGGGACAACCAAACTTTAACAGGCCTGACAATAAGACACAACAGACTAAATGAATGCTTAGAAGATGTGGCTTTAGCTCCACTGCGTTTCTAAACAGCAACACAGCCAATTTCCTATTTTTGTCATTAAGTTCATGCAAATAAACTTCTAATAACTTTACAACACATTTAAGCCTTTATAACTATTTCTTTATGACAGTAATTAATTCTGACTGGAGGGCAACATATTGCCAAGTGTCTTTTTTCCAAATATCAATTTCAAAGTCTTGTAATGCAAATACTTCAAAACGGTATCGATTTTAGTTTGGGAATGCGATTTGTGGGTGGTTACCAGGTTAAATCTTGTCAGAATGATCATATTTACGAGATAAGCATAAATGAGTACTGACTTTTCAAACTGGGGGCATGCCAATTACTCAATCATGGTGGAAATAAATTGGTATTGGCCATAATTATGTTTAAATTGTGACTGCTGATTGTATAATTTAGGATGTAAACATTCTGTACACCGTTGATAAGGAATAGCCTAAACTGGCTATAAAGCTTGCCAGAAAATACAATTAATTTAAGTTTTTTAAGACAACAGGCTAACGTCACAAAACTACAGCACATTACTGTTCAAAAGTTTGGAGTCAGTAAGACTTTTTTTTGTAAGAAATTAACACTTATTCAGCAAGGATGCATTAAATTGATCAAAATGACAGGAATAAAACACATTTTAAAATATATTTAAAAAAAAACATTTTAAATTGTAAGAATACTTAACAATATTACTGTTTTACTGTATATTAGACAAAAAAGGCAGCCTTGGTGAGCGTAAGAGACTTCTTTCAAAAACATTTAGAAAAATTTTAATTATTCCATATTTTATATTATATATGTTTTTATTGTGTAATTTTATTTTATAAACAAATACATTTATAAATACACATTCAAAAATTTAATAGAATATTAAAGGAACACGCCACTATTTTTGAAAATAGGCTCATTTTCCAACTCCCCTAGAGTTAAACAGTTGAGTTTTACTGTTTTCTAATCCATTCAGCTG